GTCACTATTTAAATCGTCCAACAAAAGTCAGAAAACAAAATTAGGTCTATGATATTTATTTAGTTAAAATAACATCGGATGAAACAAATTTCCTTTAATTGAAATTAATATAGTTTTGAAACTTGTCTGTGTTGTGTTAATTTTTAAAACATTGCAAAACAATACAACAAAAACTTATTTACATTATTCTAAACTAGTAGAAATATAAGCGGACACGTGTATTCAAATTTTTATAATAATAATAAAATTATTTAACTATATTTTTAATCTTAAATTCAATTTAAAATTAAATTTTTTATCTGAAATTTTAACGTAATTAAGTTAAAATAATTATATATATATATATATATATATATATATATTTTAAAAAACAATTATTAAAATTTCAGACAATAACAAATTTCAATTTTTCTTGACTACAAATATTTTTAATTTTAATAAAATAAATTAATATAATAAGTTAGATTTAAAAAAATTATTAGAAATATAAAAAATTATGTACATAAAAAATAATTATAAAAATATTTTTTATTAATTTTATAATGTTATAACTATCTATTAGGAGTACTTAAGTTTTTCTATTAAAATAAAAGTATAATGAAAAAGAAGTTACAAAATATTTTAATTTCTATTAATTGTTATAGTTATACAAAAATAATGTACTTTTAATCTCCGTGAGTAGTTTTTTCTAAAATAATAAAAATTAAAAAACTCAATTAATAAATAAGGGGTGTTAATAATCATATTTATCGATGACAGATTTAGTACTTTTTCTTGAAAGAAGTCGCTGTTATTTTCTTTAATTTTTATGTGTTAAAAAGATCAATTTCAATTTCTAAAAAAAATATAAAAGAAACCATTAAAAATAAAAAAAAATAACTAAAATTATATGACTCTTTTCCGATAAAAGAATTACCATCAACCACTATGGCTTGGCCTGTAATGAACAGTAAAACTTAAGAAGAAAAGAATTTAATATGAGTAGTAAAAAAACTGAGCAATTTCTTTAACAAATAATTCTAAAATATATAAGAAAAATGCAATCACACCGTTTTAATAATTAAAAGCGGGAAATTTTTATTAAATATACTCAATAATATTTTTTCTTTAATTTCTATACACATTTAATGGTAACATTTAATTTTTTTTTATAGTCTAATGGTGGAGAAAAAGGTAACATTCAATAACGTACTAATCCTACAATGATACAAATGCTGGGTACCGATATTCTCATCAGATAAAGAGAGAAAGAGACAGAGGAGAAGAGGGAGTAAACGTAAAGGCCAAGCAAAAACAACATTTATGCAACCAAACCAACTAACCCAACAAATCCTTTCCAAGGATTGCAGATGGGTCCCACCAACCACATAATTTCTCTTTTCTTTTTCTTAAAATTAGAAACTTCTTACTAACCTTTACCATAAATTTTTAATGTCCAAATTACCAAATGAAACTTTAGTTAATTTGGATTTAAACACCACATCTAACAAAAGTACTACACTTTTTGTCTAATCACATCACATTAGAATGTGACCACAGCACATGGAAGCTGTTTTTGGCTACAGTGACCAGAGTACACAGTCACATATAGGCTTAATATCCTATTTTGTCCCTAGTTTCGCTCGAAAATGTCAAATTAGTTCATCCTTTAAAAAATGCGTCAATTACGTCCTCACTTAATAAAATTTGCATCAATGAAATCCCTTCCGTTAAATCCGTACAAACAACGTTAATTATTTTTCTCTCTCTTCTATTAACGCCGTTTGTACGGATTTAACGGAAGGGATTTCATTGATGCAAATTTTATTAAGTGAGGACGTAATTGACGCATTTTTTAAAGGATGGACTAATTTGACATTTTCGAGCGAAACTGGGGACAAAATAGGGTATTAAGCCTCACATATATTAACAAAATTTGAATCCAATTAGATAAAAAATTAAAATTATTTTTTAATCAAAATTTTAATATAATAAGTTCACGGGTCTTTATTTTTATATGATATTTTACTTTTTTTTTATTTTTATTTAATATAAAACTTAAACAATAAATTAATAGTGTTAAGATAAAAATGAAAAGGTAGAGTTTTATATATAAAGGTGAAAGAGTGGTTAATTAATTGTTTTGTGTTGGAGAGAGATCTCACTTCTTTGAATTAGGTTTAGATTTTATTAGTATCTGGATCTTCTCACTCAACCTCTTCTTTGATAAACGTTCTTTACACAGTATTTTATTTTTCCATTTTTATCTAATATGACACTAAGAATGATTATGTCCCGTATTAATTTCTTAAAGTGTGGTTTAGAATAGTTGAAGGGAATGAATGCCTAACTCAAGAGCATGCATATTATAGACCAATTTTACCTGGGGTGGGTTGGTAGGTGCCATCATCGTTATTGTGAAATCTACTGCTACTATATAAGCTTGGTGGCTACGTTTTGAAAACGCAACTACTTACTACTCAAACATCCTTTTATGCAGTGGAGTGGATGGAGAATTCGGAAGAGGAATCTTTCTTTTTTTCTTCAATCTTCTTTTATTTCTTATCTTTTTCTCCTTTTTCTCAAGTGGAACAATACTCCATGCCCAACCATAGAACTTGGAAACTAGCTGTTCCATATTAGTCTTCAAAATGGTGTGCGCTCTTCTGTGCTCACCCTTTTCACACCATCACCATTATTCACATCCAAACTAGCTGCCTTCTGTCGTTTGATCATCTGCTTCAAACTTTGAATTCTGATCAAACTGTCGAAAAAAAAAAGAATATTTATAATGTGTGTTTCATGCCTCATTATTCACTTCAAAAGTATAAGAAACATGTTTTGACTGTTTCAACATAACATAATTATCTTAAATTGGGTATTGCAAGATCACTTTTTTCTAATCATTGATTCATGGACTGTTCTCCCATTATTTAGGTAAGGGAACTGAACTGCACATCCCACTAACTTTTGTTGAACTGTACATATTTCAGCCAAATACAGAATTCAACAAAACCATACTCCTCCACTTTGGATCAACCCTAGTTGCTGCTAGCGATAAACCGTGTCCGAATTCTTTCACACCAATAATTAGTGTTGTTGTAGCATGTGGTTGTGGATGTTTTTGCAGAGCACGCGTTGGTAAACTTGTTTTGATTATTTTAAGACTTTTCCTTTTCTAAGTTTTTGATTGCATGACGAGGATGTTTTTAAAGAATAATAACACATTACTATCATTGGAAAGTTAAGAGCTAGAAATTAAGAGACAACTTTTCACGACCGTTGGCTGGTAGCTACCATCTGCCAACCATTTATCGCAACTTCAATTCCCTCTACCAGACCTGCTGCTACAACTACAAGGACAGATATCTCTACTTTTTCTTCTAATTGTTGGTGGAAGTGTGAAGGATTCGACTTCTTGATGGGAGCTAACTTAACCAAACCTATGTGATGTATTAATTATGCAACAGTGTCATAAAGAAGGATTTGTTTTGTTGTGCAAGTAATCAAACAGGACTTTGGTCTTGGCGTCTCTTTCTAGCTCAACTAAGTCAAGTGTGAAGAAACAGAATAATCAATGATCATGATGATATTGATAGATGATTAGCCCTTGTTTTTCATGACATCTTTTTGACTAGTTTATCAAATTTTTTCCACCTGGTAACCCTCTTGTTTTCTTACCCTTAAATGATTAGTTTCTTTATTTGTTTGAAATANTTCAAAAGTATAAGAAACATGTTTTGACTGTTTCAACATAACATAATTATCTTAAATTGGGTATTGCAAGATCACTTTTTTCTAATCATTGATTCATGGACTGTTCTCCCATTATTTAGGTAAGGGAACTGAACTGCACATCCCACTAACTTTTGTTGAACTGTACATATTTCAGCCAAATACAGAATTCAACAAAACCATACTCCTCCACTTTGGATCAACCCTAGTTGCTGCTAGCGATAAACCGTGTCCGAATTCTTTCACACCAATAATTAGTGTTGTTGTAGCATGTGGTTGTGGATGTTTTTGCAGAGCACGCGTTGGTAAACTTGTTTTGATTATTTTAAGACTTTTCCTTTTCTAAGTTTTTGATTGCATGACGAGGATGTTTTTAAAGAATAATAACACATTACTATCATTGGAAAGTTAAGAGCTAGAAATTAAGAGACAACTTTTCACGACCGTTGGCTGGTAGCTACCATCTGCCAACCATTTATCGCAACTTCAATTCCCTCTACCAGACCTGCTGCTACAACTACAAGGACAGATATCTCTACTTTTTCTTCTAATTGTTGGTGGAAGTGTGAAGGATTCGACTTCTTGATGGGAGCTAACTTAACCAAACCTATGTGATGTATTAATTATGCAACAGTGTCATAAAGAAGGATTTGTTTTGTTGTGCAAGTAATCAAACAGGACTTTGGTCTTGGCGTCTCTTTCTAGCTCAACTAAGTCAAGTGTGAAGAAACAGAATAATCAATGATCATGATGATATTGATAGATGATTAGCCCTTGTTTTTCATGACATCTTTTTGACTAGTTTATCAAATTTTTTCCACCTGGTAACCCTCTTGTTTTCTTACCCTTAAATGATTAGTTTCTTTATTTGTTTGAAAAACATCAACACTAAGAAAATAAAAAGGTCTTATACAAATTCAGAAAACATAGGTTATGTCTACTATCTCCATCTCAAACTTAAATGAAAGCGTAGCCGTAACATTATATTGATGGTTGTCTGCGCAATCGACCAGCTTTTCATTAAATTTGTAAGCTAGTAAGCAACCTAACATATACACTACACTCTATTTATTTCTTAAAATAATAGATACATTTTTATTCATGTTTGGACATGAGTTCTCCTTATTTAATCAGATGTTTTTAGTTTGTTTAAACAAATACATTCGATTTTAATTAGTTAATTAATTGAATAATTGCAACCAAAATGTTTAATCTGAAATCATTTTTCATTGGAAGTTAGACACAAATATAAAAAGGCAACGGACGTCAGCTCCTCTGCTTTTATTCAAAGCTAAGCTCAAACGCATGTTATATAATCTGATCACTAAGAATTTTAGCAACCACTTTTCACTCCGTAGAGAAACAAGTGGGAAAAAGACACTGATGAAATAATAAAAATAACTTAATTGAAGAATTTAAGTGAGTTATGAGTGATTCCAAAAGAAAATGGTGAATGAAGACCCCATTACTGTACCACCCTCTCCTCTCCCTTCGATGTAGCAACTTTATTTGGACAACCTCAAAAGCCTTTCATCAAACAATTCAGCTACAAATGGAGAACACCTGGATCCTCACTTTTCACCTTCTTCTTCTCCTCCTGCTCCATTCAAATGCAGCAAAAGGGGCCATTAATGTGGGTGTCGGTGTTGGTGGAAGAGGTGGCATAGGTGTTGGCATTGGTATTGGCAATGGGGGTAGTGGTGGTAACACCGCAGGACCCTCTGGATCCTCAGTGTCAAACCTCAACAATGCTTTCACGGCCCTCCAAGCTTGGAAATCTGCCATAACTGATGACCCTTTGAAGATTTTGGACACTTGGGTTGGTCCCAATGTGTGTTCCTACAAAGGTATCTTCTGCTCGAATTCTCAGGACGAGAATGGAATTGCCACAACAGCATCAACCGAGTCTTCTGTTGTTGCTGGAATAGATCTCAACCATGCAAATCTCCAAGGGACTCTTGTCAAAGAACTATCTTTGCTATCAGATATCACTCTTTTCCATCTAAACACCAACAGGCTTTCTGGCTCAGTTCCCGAGTCTTTCAGAGACCTCACTTCCCTACAAGAGTTGGACCTCAGCAACAACCAACTCTCAGGACCTTTTCCCACTGCCATTCTGTCCATGCCAAGCCTCGTCTACTTGGACCTCAGATACAACGACTTCTCAGGGCAACTTCCCGATGAACTCTTCAACAAGAAACTCGATGCAATATTCCTCAACAACAACAATTTTGGGGGTGAAATTCCAGAGAATCTGGGAAATTCACCTGCCTCGGTGATCAACTTGGCCAACAACAAGTTGAGCGGAAGCATCCCTTTTAGCTTTGGCTTCATGAGTTCAAGACTGAAGGAGATTCTCTTCCTTAACAACCAGTTAACAGGTTGCATTCCTCAGGGAGTAGGGATCTTCACCGAGATGCAAGTGTTGGATGTGAGTTTCAACTCTCTGATGGGCCATTTGCCTGACACAATGAGTTGCTTGCAGGATATAGAGGTTCTCAATTTGGCAAATAACAAGCTCTCAGGGGAATTA